TGGACTGTGGGACATAAAGTGATACTTGTGAGGACTGTGCCTCTTAGATCAAGTAGATACAAGAGACCAAAGGGGCAGCTTCTGTCCAGAGGTGAGATGGGAAGGCAGAGAGGGTTAGGAGCTGGCTGAATGGACATCGGGAATCAGGGATGGAAAGGAGGAGCGTGCTGTCGCAGAATGGGGTGAGCAATTAGGATCACATAACAATGTATAAAATTTTGTATGGGAGACTAACCTGAAATGTAAATTTCATTTAGACTACAACAATTTTTAAAAAAAAGTGTGTAAGACTAGACCAGACTTGCTGGTCTGACAGAGACTAGAGAAATCCCAAGAGTATGGCGCCGAAACACCCTTTTAACTCAGTACTTAAGTCACTGCTGAGGTTCACCCTTCAGCAAAGATTAGACAGGTGTATAGGGCAAACAATAACACCCATGAAGAATGTGCTTCATAGTTCAATCATGTATACAAGACTAAATGGGCACACCAGCCCAAAAGCAAAGATGAGAAGGCAGGAAGGGACAGGGAAACTGGACAAATGGAAACAGGGAACCCAGGGTGGAGAAGGGGAGAATGTTGACACGTTGCGGGGTTGACAACCAATGCCACAAAACAATCTGTGTATTCATTGCCTAATTAGAAACTAATTTACTCTGTAAACTTTCACCTAAAGCACAATTAAACTAAAAAAAAAAAAATAAGAAAAAGAAACCCTCCCTGAGCCCCTGTGAGTGCCATACCAATAGCTACGGAGTCTCAGGATCTGCCAGGTCTGGTGCTGGAACTAGCAGACACCCCTGGTTGGGAGGAGACATCTGAATTTGCCTCTGCGGAGAATGGTGGACAAGTGGTTATCTGAGGTGGGGACAGCCACCTTTCTGTGAGCACCTACAGATTCCCCAGCCACTGACAATGACCACTGTAACTAGGGGGCCCAGGATGTGCCTGCAGCCACAGACCAGTGGCCAAAACCTCCACTGATAACCCAGCACAAGCACCTTTGTGTGCTTGGTCCACAGAGCACCCCCACATACACCCTGACAGTTCAAGCAACCAATGTGCAAAGTTTCGACCTAAGTACGACAGCCAGGGTGGTCATCACGGTCTGCATGGAGTTAAGTCCACAAGGCTTTGTGCAACCCCAACACCCAAAATTGCTGTGTGTAGGTAGCAGTGTCATGATTCAGGACACTGGTCCTCAACCCTGTGCCTGTCAGAACCAGCAGGGGCCTTAAACACCACTGACCAGTGCCCACTGAAGACCAGGTTAGCCATGTCTGCAGCCAGCAGGCACCAGTACACAGCATGGGGGCCAACTTGGGCCAAGGGCTGAGGGTTGCTGGGTAGGGGGAGAGAAGAGGTCTCTGCCCTTGGCCAGGAGTCACTCTGGTTCCAGCTGGTTAAGAATAACCAGAATCCCCAGGTCCATGTCACAGGAATGAGCTGTGTGTCTTACTCTGGGGACCCACGAGGGAGGACTCAAAGTGAGTTAAGGACAGAGGGGATTTTATTATAAAGAAATGGTGTTGGGGAAAAGAAGGGTTCAGTGTGCTGCTAAGCCTCTTGAGGGAACAGCCTAGGAACCAAGGAACCCGGGCTGCACTTAGCTGGCGCTCTCTCTCTCTCCTCTCTGCTTTCAGCCTTTCCATACATACTTGTTTATTTATTTTGTCCATCCATTCAACAAATATTTATTTAGTGACTACTAATGCCTAAGAGTCCCTAGGTGGTGCAAACAGTGTGTTTGACTGCTAAACAAAAGGCTGGAGATTCAAGTCCACCCCGAGGTGCCTCAGAAGAAAGACCTAGTCAGCTATTCCAAAAACTCAGCCACTGACGACTCTATGAAGCGCAGTACTACTCTGACACACAGGAGAGCAGGGCTAGGAGTAGGAGTGGACTCAGTGGCAACTGCTTTTTTATTTTATTTTTTATTTTTTGCCTTGTCAGTACGGTGGGGGGGAGGTGAGACGAGGGGCAGGTAACCCAAGAAGGAGAGAGAAAAACAGCCCAGAAAGCTCCGTCTTGTCCCAAGGAAGCCTCTCACCAACCCCTTTTACAGATGCGGAAACTAAGACAGGTCACATGGCCTGTCAGGGCAGAGTCAGAATCCAAACTTTACCTGGCCCCCAGGGGCTCCTATCAAAATCTCATCTGTCCTAGGAGAGAAAAACCCAACATTAACTCTGGGCGACCGACCCTCGTGCGCCACCCACCCTCATCCTGGCTCCCAGACCCTGGGTCCCTCACCCCACCCTGCGCCGCCCCGAACCCGCGTCCAGTCAGTGCTGGCCCGGCTAACCACCCCGGGAGAGAGTGAAGGAGTGGGGTGGGGTCGGGGTCAGGGTGCGTGGGAGGTCCCTTCCGGCCGCGCCGCCGCCCTGCCCCGCTAGTCTACCTCCGCCCGAGAGGAGCCTCCGCGACAGCCACAGGTATGTGCTGGGTGTGTGCGCCGCGCTTGGCCCCGGGTGCCCGGGGACCCTCTGGATCCTCCGTCGGGGCGGGGCGAGGCAGGGCGGGGGCCGCGCTCAAGGAGGGACCGGCAGGTCCCGCCCAGCGGTCTGTCGGTGGCCGGGCGGGTGGTCGGAGGTGAGGCCGAGGCCATGAACTCAGGAGCTGCCCTGTGGCTCCAGCGGCACCTGGACGCCTCTGAGGTGAGGGGCCAGGCTTGGACGCCGGGGCTGCCTGTCCCCTCAACTTGTTGACCCATGAGGGAATGAGTGGACTGGGAGAGCAAAGAGACCTGCCAGGACCCTCTTGATGCAGATGAGAGTGGGGACCTCCATGGGGGTGGTCAGGCCAGTGGGTGTTGACACTACTGAAGTCATTCTTGCCTTCTGCCCCCCCCCTCGGGCTGGGTGCAGTTTGGGGAGGAGAGGACTCTGCCCAGAAGAGTATTGTCCCATCAGGCCAGTGGGGACACAGGGACAGGACTCCAGCTAGCTGCCACCCCCTCTCTGGCCCAGGGCAGCAGCATGGAGCCTTCCAGCAGCCCACTGACCACACATGTACTGGACACCACCTCGGGGCTGCCAGCCCAGGGCCTCTCCCTCCATCTGTCCAGGTTGGAGGGCCAAGGCCAGCAGTGGATGGAGCTGAGGAAAAGGTAGGGAGGGGCCCTCAGGCAGGAGGCCAATCCCAGACCACATCCTTAGGGCAAGGCCTGGCAGGTAAAGGACCTAGGCAGCAGAGGGCTGAGGGGCTGACCCAGCCCTGACCCTCTTCCTGACCCCCTGAGCCTTTTCCTCACCTGAGAGAACATGGGTAGTTCTGTGCCTAGAATGTGCTGTAACTGCAACTTCCTCGTTCCAGGCCCCACAGCCCCCTGCCAGCTGGGCTAGGGACAAGGGGTCTCTGCCTCCCTGACAGCCATGCCCAGTGCGGCCCAACCCCAGGAGGGGCTGGGTTAGTTAAGGCCCGAGGTGGGTCTACAAGGTCCATTCCCACCCCATGCACAAGGGTGGTGCCCCCAGAAAGTACAAAGCTAGGGCACCCAGCAGGCCACGGAGCCAGAAATTCCCTCAGAGCCCCAACAAGGGGTCACATCACTCAGGCATAGATGCTTGGATGTTAGAAACATCGCCATCTAGAAAGCCACACACAAAATCTGAAGTGAAAGACACAAATTATAAAGGAGTATAATAGTACAATCCATTTTATGTTAAAAAGTTTATAAACAAACATTCTTATATACAGAGAAAGGTGGAAAAATATATACCAAATATAAAATAATTATTGCTATTGGAGTAGATCATGTTCTTTTTTGCTACTCTGTATTATGCCTTTTCTAATATTAAAACAGGAGACACAGTGGTGTCCTCGAGCTCCCCCAGGAACCCAGGCCCAGGGCTGTCTGCAGCTGAGTCAGGTTGGAGCCAGTGGCGGGGGCGGGGTACAGACCCCAGGAAGAGCTGGGCAGAGGCTTCTTGTCCAGTCGCCTCCGTCCTCTCCGCAGCTACGCCAATGCAGACAGCTGCTGCCCCAGGCTCCTGGAGCCAGGCCAGATGAAGGGGGGCACCTACAAGCTGTTCTTTGACACCCAGGGCTACTGGAAGAAGAGGGGGCAGGAGAGCTTCTACCCCTATGTGGAGGTGAGGGTGGTGGGCAGGCTGGCCCTGACTCACTGTGGCCCGGCCAGCCAGCCGCATCCGCACAATGGACAGATTGGTGCCATCTCCTACTCTCCTGGGTGTGGGGATGGGTGCAGTCATCTGCTTTGAGCTCCTAGTAAGAAAGGTATTCATGGACCTGAGGCCTCATTAGGCTTTACAAGGTCCGGCCTATACTGGGCCCGCCCCTGGGCAAGGCTTTGCAGGGGCTGGGCTAGTGTGACTCAGCAGTTTGTAGGCCAATGCTGTCATCTGAGCCACCTCCCCCTTTACTGGGAGCCACCTCAAAGCATCGACCTTTTTCAAGTCATCTTTTGAGTCATCAACCCCATGGGACCCCTTTCTTCCTGGAGGACCTGCCCCTCTCAGCTCAGTTCTCCTGGGCGTCAGGGCCGTGCTGGGCATCATTCCCTAGGGGGTCTCTACCTCCTCTCAGGTGGTCTTCACCATCACCAACGAGACACAGAAGTTCCACGTGCCCCTGCTCCTGAGTCCATGGTCCTATACCACCTACCGCAGGAGCTAGGGGCTACAGGATGACGGCTTCTGCAGAGTAGGTCCCCACTTCCTCTGGAAGGTTCCAGGCTGCCCCCCACCACCCTGCCACCAAGGTTTCAGCAGGTATCAATAAAGTCAGGCTGGCAACTCCAGCTGCCCTTCTCGTTGGGCTGTGGGCTAGGGTTAGGGGAGGGCAAGGTGTGCGGGCACCAGGGAGGAGGCCACAGAAGGGGCGAGGCTGGGTGGGCCCTGGTGCTGCTCCTCCACAAAGGCCAGACAAGGAGACACGCAGGCCAAGGGGAAAACTTTCATTTGCTGACAATGTAAATCTAAAAAACAAAAACCCACCCTCAGTGTATGGGGTGGGATGCCCACACGGGCCCTGGATGGCTACGTAGGCGTGGCCACCAGCCCGGCAGGGCCCTGGCCCAGCGTCTGCCCAATGATGGCCGTCTCCAGGGGCCTGAAGCCCACGTTGTCCAGAGGGATCCCGAAGGCCAGGAGTTTCGCCTCGTAGGTGCGCAGGAGGTCGTTGTGCGCCTGTGGGAAGGACAGCATCAGGGCCAATCCTCACCCAGACCCAGCTGGCTTACCAGTGCTGGTGGGAGCAGGGGCAGAGGCTGTGCTGAGGTGGAGCACAGAAGGCCAGCACTACAGAGCATGGCCTTCATGGGGGTTTTAAAAAGCCAAGCTCAGGAGCCCTGGTCATGGGTCAAATCGCAGCCAGCGGCCGGGGCCCCAAGAGCCAGAACATGGTATTACTGAGATGGTCACCCAGCACTAGGGCTGGATCCTGCTCTCTGGGGTTCCCTGTGCATCGCCCAGGCCAGAGCCCCAACAGCTGGCTGGTGGGGTGTCCCCTATGACAGGCAAGATGCAGAGCAGCTGAGCAGTTACTCTTCTGGGCAGAGACCTGAGGGCTCTGGGGCACCAGGGGCCAAGCCCAGGCCTCTCAGGAGCAAGAAACAGACGATGGGGTTGAGGCACCAGCATCGGGGGTTTGCCCCAAATCGTAGCAGGAGTCTGTGTCAGTGTGATTTTGGTGGGAAAGGGGCATGGAGTCTACGAGACCCACAAAGAAGTCTATCGCCCGAGAAGGTCTGTCCATACTCAAAAGTCTCCACAAACCCAGCCCCAGCTGATGCAGACTAAAAGCCAGAAACCCTGGGTGCGATAAGATGCCTGGAAACAACTTACCACAACACAGCTCCCTTGGAGCCGAGGGCACACAGCCTGAAAGTGAGGTGATGGGGAGCCACATCTGCCCTGGAGTATGCTGGCCAGGCCCCTCCTCCACAGGACTTCCCTGTGCCCCTACCCCACCCCCACCATCCCAGTCCCCAAAGGGTGCCCACCTAACCCCACAAAGGCAAACAGACCCAGGAAGGGTGGCAGGGGCATTTAGGGGGCCGACTCAGGCTGAGCCTCAGCTGGCACAGGCAGGGGCAGGAGAGGCGACAATGTCTCAGACGTGGGGAAGGAGTAGGGGGGCTCTGTGGATGATGATTCCATCCCTGGTGGGGCCAGGACCTGGGCAGGCTGCCCTCAGAGCTGCATCCTCATCCTCACAGGACCCGGTCTCCAGGGACCTTCTGAGCTTAGGACGCCACCCGGATGTGCTGGGCCCTGAGGTGGGTGGTGCGTACCTTGCAGACACGGGCTAGCTCGTACTGAAGGTCCTTGATGGTGCTGTTTTTCGATTCCAGGATGTCCTGAGGGGAAAGCAGATGGGAGGCTGGCCTCTGTGTCCACACTTGGACACAGCAGAGGTGGACATGCATGGGGAGGGGTGGGATGGTGTGCACCACATGCCATTCACACAGTCGGATGTTTGAGTTATGTGAACATATCACCTATTCCAATTCTAATTAAAGGGGAAAAAATAGTCTGTGTGACTTTTACGCACTCTGCTGGTGCTGGGTCTGAGTCTGCAGGCCTAGGGGATAGGCATGTCACCACCCTGAGGGGCCCCCTGCCCTGCCCAGTCACCGTCCTGCCTCTCCGGCTGCCCCATCTGGCCACCCCACAGGGATTCTAGGTCCACCCTGGCTCAGCCCACCACGAGGTGCCCGACGCCCCTTCTGGAAACAGCACGATGACATGAGAAGGAAAGACCCCTCAAACCAAAAGCCATAGAAAATTTAAAAAATAAAAACCTAGGAAAACTTGAGGTCAATACTTAGCTGCTCTCTGGAGAAGGAAGAAATGACAAAGAGAAGATGGGTAACTTGGCATGAATAAAAATTAAAACCTTCTATATGTTAAAAAACCATACCACCCATGCAGAGAACCCATGGGCAATTGGAAGAGTCTCCCCAAAGTGCAGACGTGCATCCCTCAACCCAGTAGGCTGGCTTCTCGAGCATCTTTCATACAGAAAACAGACAACATGGGTACAAAGCCACTCAGGCAGCTCTTTCGGGAGAGTAAAGGCTGGGAAGAAACCAAATGGGGGTCCACCTACACTGCTGTGTCCCTCACAGAGTCTCCAGGGCACAGGAAGTGAGATGCACTCCCTCAGATGCAAAACCCCCCAGGGAGGGGCGAGAGAGGCCATGACTGTGGGGACAGAGGCCAGGGCGGGAGGGAGTTCTTCACTGCCACCTGCTATACTTTCTGATTTTTTTAATTGAGTGTACATATTACCTACTCAAAAAAGTGTACGTTTAAGAAACCTTAAAAATTAAAAAGCAAACAAAAAGTTGGGAACAAACAAGGCCAAGGACCCTATAGAGACCAAACGTGGGTAACACAGGTGTGGGTCGGAACCCAATGTGAGCCGCGCTGCCTTCCGTTCTTGCCTCCTCATTACCTTTCCCATGTTTTTAATGTCCTTTAACAGGCTCAGACCATTTCCACCTTTTTTTTTTTTTCTTTTTGCAAATCCAGACAAGCCTCTCGTTTTAATCCTCACACTTGCTCTCTCAAGAATAACGTTTTTTAATACAGTCATTGCTTTGTAATCAAGTAAAATTGCTGAGTTTTCCATTTTGTGTTTGAGAAGTGCTGGTGGACAGCGGGGGCTCACCTCGAGCTTGCGGGACACAATGGTCAGGGCCGAGGGGTCTAGGTTGGAGGTGGCCAGCACCTCGTTGAGCTGCGCCTCTTTCTGCTCCACGGCAGTGCTCAGTGCCTTCAGCTTCCGCTCTAGGACTAGGTTCTTGAAGCCCGTCTTCTGCTGCACCTCCTGGATAGCTGCCGTGAACTTCTGGTAGAGTTGGTCCCGTTCCTGCTGCACCTGCAGGGGGCCAGCAGTCATGGAAGCAGAACTCCCACCCCCACCTAAGCTGCCCACAGAGGAAAGAGACAGGAAGGCAACCACACTGTTTGTGAGGTGAGGGCCTCAGAGAAGCTACTCCCTCCCAGCCCCTAGAACTCTCCAAACTGCAGGTCCAGGGCACCGCCAGCAAGTACAACTGTGCGACATTTTTCTCATCTCTTAACTTTTTAAATTAAATGCTCATTGTATAAAATTAAAACTTTGTGGAGGTACATAAAGTAAGACATAAGCAACCCTTCACCCCACTTGCCAGAGGCCACCATCGTGAACACTTGGAGTGACTCCTTCAAGAATGTTCTCAACAATGAATCCATGAAACATAACATGGAGGAATTTGGAGGGCATTATGCTGAGTGAATTTGGTCAGTCACAGAACGACAGATAGTGTATAAGACCACTATTATAAGAACTCAAGAAAAGGTTTAAACACAGAAGAAAACATTCTTTGATGGTTACAAGGGTGGGGAGGAAGGGTGAGGGTTATTCACTAACTACATAGTAGACAAGAATTATCTTAGGTAAAGGGAAGGACAGTACACACTACAGGGGAAGTTGGCACAACTGGACTAAACCAAAGCTAAAAAGTTTCCTGAGTATAATCAAACACTTCAAGGGACAGAGTAGCAGGGACAGGGATCTGGGGACCATGGTTTCAGGGGACATCTAGGTCAACTGGCATAACAAAGCTTATTAAGAAAATGTTCTGCATCCTACTTTGGTGAGTGGCATCTGGGGTCTTAAAAGCTAGCAAGCAGCCATCTAAGATGCATCCATTGGTCCCAACCACCTGGAGTAAAGGAGAATGAAGAACACCAAAGGCACAAGGAAAGTATTAGTCCAAGAGACAGGGCCACATAAACAAGAGACTGCATCATCCTGAGACCAGAAGAACTAGATGGTGCCCAGCTACCTCCAATGACTGCCCTGACAGGAAACACAATATAAAGTCCCTGATGGAGCAGGAGAAAGGTAAAAAGACCAGACTTAATGGTCTGACTGAGACTGAACAACCCCAGAAAGCATGGCCCCCGGACTCTCTGTCATCCCAGAACTAAAACAATTCCTGAGGCCAACTCTTCAGACAAAGATTGGACTGGAGTGTGGGACATAAAATGATACTCGTGAAGAGTGTGCTTCTTAGCTCGAGTAGACACAAGAGACTAAATGGGCAGCTCCTGTCCGGAGGTGAGATGAGAAAGCAGAGAGGGTTAGTAGCCGGCTGAATGGATATGGGAGATCAGGGGTGGAAAGGAGGAGTGTGCTGTCACAGTATGGGGAGAGCAATTAGGGTCACATAATGTATGTATAAATTTTTGTATGAGAGACTAACTTGAACTGTAAACTTTCACTTAAACAATAATTAAAATGGAAAAAAAAAAAGAATGTTCTCTCTTAACTGAAATCCATGAACTTGGCCAACTTCCCCAGCAGGTCCCTCAGAAGCATCACTGGGAGGGGCCAAGGGGAGCCCCCTGGGGCAGAAGTGACTCTCTTCTCCTAAAAGCTGCAAGACGTCCGCCACCAAACCCAGTCTCCTTGTCCACACCTCCTGGAGCCGTCACAGGGGCCAGGGCCTGGAAAGAGCCCCCACCCCTCCTGGGCTGGCACCCCATGCCTCCTCGCCCACCCCCTACACCCACCTACACCCCCCACCTTGATGAACCGCTGCTCCAGCACCTCGTGCTCCCACTGCAGGTCTTTTAACTCTTTCTCGGTGACTTTCAGGCGAGCTTTTGTGCACTGGAGAGAAGGGGAAGAGAAATTATTAAATTACTCAGGATTCACAGGCTCCTGGGAGACCACAAGACCCAAAATCATCGCCAGAAAGAAATTAGCTCAAAGGCATAGTGGCTGAGCCTGGCAACCCAGCGCCCTGCCATCCAAGGCTCATCTCCCCAGAGGCCCATCAGCCATGTCCCCACCCCATCCTCCACCTCCTTTGGGGTGGATGCCCACCATCAAGATCTGCTTGTCACGCTCATAGTGCGTGAGCTTCCTCTGCATCTCGCTCATCTCGTCCCGTGCCCGCTGCAGCGGGTCCGCCAGGCGCTTGTTCTGCATGGTCACCTCCATCATCTCCTTCTCCAGGTGGTCCTCCTTCTTCCGCATGTCCTCCATCTGCTCCTGTGGGCAGAAAGCAGGGGGACTGTGCCTTCAGTGGGGCTAGCCTTCGTGTGCTGAGGGCCTAGACCACGTCCATTTTATCAAACCCAGCACTTATGCATGCTTTTAATTTAGTCTGAATTTTCCAGGAGTGTAGCTTCCACGTAAATTGACAGACTATACTTTGTTCAGGGTTCTGCAAGAGTCACTCTCCATGCTGGGAAACCTGCTGCAGTGGCTTCAGGGTGACCAGTGACACATCCAGCATCGGACCACCAGCGCCTCTGGACATAGACACAGTACAGCCTCTGGCTGCAACCCGTAGTGTGGCCTACCTGGGTGTTTCCATACCAAAATGGATATTATTTTATGACTTCTATATCCAAGCTAGCAGTATCCTGATTGATTCTAATCATAGGTGTAGATATCCCCTATGATTTCCAACTGAGGTTAGTTGAGAGCACCAAGAAATGCTCCTACAGGGGGTTGGTCAGGCACACCTTGAGCGAGTTGATGAGGGCCAGGTTGTTGAGGGTAATATCATTGTAGTAGTTCTTGATGTCGGTGAAGGCCTCCTCATGCCGCTCCATCAGCATGTGGATCTGCCTGCTCTTCCTCTCCTCTACCTCGTGGATCTCCGTCTTTCTCCGCAGGTCCATCTCATCCCTCAGCGTCTTCATCTTCTTATCGTACTTGGCCTCAATTTCTGAAAGGCAGCATACACACAGCAGCTTAGCAGAGGAAGCCCCTGTGGACCCTGGAAACAGGGCCCAGGACCCCCACCCACGACCAGAGTGAGAAGGCACAGGCACACGTTGCCAGCTCACCTGAGTGGGCACTAACCAGGCCTGTGTGGCCACAGGCAGATCCCCAGGCTTTGTCAGCAGGCCAGACAGAATCCTGAAATGGGAGCCTTCTCAGGCCAGGAGCCATGGAGAAGACTATTCTAAGAATGCTTCCTGCCCTGTGAGCAGCCATCTAAGATACTCCACTGGTCTCATCCCTTCGGGAGCAAGGGAGAACGAAGAGAACAGGATACAAGGAAAAGATTAGTCCAAAGGACTAATGGACCACAGCTACCAAGACCTCCACCAGACTGAGTCCACTACAGCTAGATGGTGCCCGGCTACCACCACTAACTACTCTGACTGGGATCACAACAGAGGGCTCTGGACAGAGCTGGAGAAGGATGTAGAACAAAATTCTAACTCACAAAAAAAAAGACCAGATTTACTGGCCTAAAGGAGACTGGAGAAACCCCAAGAGTATGGCCCCCAGACACCCTTTTAGCTCAGTGGTGAAGTCACTTACGAGGTTCACCGTTCAGCCGGGGAGTGGACAGCCCCATAAAACCAAATGGGACTAATGAGGCACAGCAGTCCAGGGACAAGGGCTAGAAGGCAGAAGGGGACAGGAAAGCTGGTGATAGGGAACCCAAGGTTGAGTAACGATAGTGTTGATGTGTTGTAAGGTTGTTAACCATTGTCATAGGGCAACATGTGTACTGTTTAATGAGAAACTATTTTGTTCTGTAAACCTTCATCTAAAGTGAGAATAGCAGCACAATTGGAAGAGCGTAGTCAATGTCACTGAACTGTGCATGTAGAAATTTTTGAAATGGTTTTTTTTGGCGCTATGTATATTTTCACCAAAAAAAAAAAAAAAAGGTCGAGAAGGGAGAGGGTTGACATGTCGTGGGGTTGTTAACCAATGTCATAAAACAATATGTGTACTACCGTTTCATGAGAAACTATTTGTTCTGTAAACCTTCACCTGAAGTACAATTAAAAAAAAAAGTAAAAAAAAAAAAAAAAGAATGCTGCCTGCAAGACTGAGTAATTGCCACCTGCTGCCAAGTCCGAAGTTAGCCGGGAGGGAGGAGCCAGTCCCACGCCCTTGGGACTCCAACTTTCCCGACTTGGTGTATTTGTCCTGAGTTAATGGCTCTGGAGGCACACTGTTTTCTGATGGAGACAAGGTCTCTGGCACCGTCTAATACAGGGGTGCAATGTGCGTGGAGAACTGACCTCGAACTTGCCTCTCGAAGTCGCTGCGCATCTTGGTGATCTCCTCGGCGTGTTTCTGCAAAGACGAGAGCAGAACATTACTGACAGCCAGACACAGAGAAGGCCCAGCCCTTTGGGCCGACCCCAGTCCTTGCTGATTGACAAAATTCGGCTCTGTGAGCCCTGTGCTGCTTTGAGGGTAGGGGTGCACTGGGCCATCACGGACATGCCAGAGACGTGGTCTTGGTGACCTCCATGTCAGCCTCAGCTAAGGCACCCTGAGTTGGTGGGAACCCTCACAGATGTTCCAGTGCCTGCCAGCATGCCTCAGCTGGCACTTAAAAATAATTCTTTGAAAGACTTAAATTGTTTTCTAGAGTAGTGTTTTACCAAAAGGGGCATTCTGACCGGGTGGCAGGCAGGTCCAGGCCTTGGGCCAGGCAGCCCAGGAATGGCTGTCAAGAGGACCGGTCACTCCCTGGGGCCAAGGCTGCAGTGCCCGTACTGAGCTGCACAGTCTGAAGTGTTAAGAGTTTTTCTAGATTAGGGTGTCGCAGGGCTGCTTCCAGGTCCAGCAGCTGGGGAGAACCCTTGAAAACCAGCGTCAGACATGTTCCTCCTCTACCCGGACCCCCAAAGGTTGCCCAGCCCTCACTGTGGTTATCTTCCCAGCCTCCTCCCACCTCTTAACACCAGCATGTTCCAGCCTACTGGCCTCCGGGCTGGTCTCCCCAGCCTGGTCCACCCCACCTCCCACCATTTTGCCCAAATGTCACCTTCTCCATGCGGCAGCCCTGACCCCCCTCTTGCCTTCCTATAGCACTCACCCCTCCTCAGCTGCTATGCACACATAACCATTTATTTGACTTCAATTTTCTGTGCTGTCTCCCCTCTCCCTCAACCCCATGCACTGGCAATTATCAGCTCTGTCCATTCTGTCCCCACAGCCAGGACAGGCTCAGGGCCTGGACCCTGCATGTCCCAGACTTGGCTGTGTTGGTTCCCACTGCACACGAAGAGCAGGTTACAGAAGATACCCGAGTGGGCCTTCCCTTTTGGAAGTCATGTCAGTGCTCAGGTCAGACAGAATTCTGCTTCTCGTCCCTAAATGGGTTTGTTTGGCTGCATGGCATTTTAAAACAATTTCAATTGATGGCCAAAAAGTGGGATTTTTGACACCCAAATGTGTGTTCCCAGCTGTCCCATACCTACCAGCCGCAGGCTCTTCACCACCACTTCATTGGCTAGCTCCTGCTCCTTGAGCTCCACCTTCAGCGCCCGCATGTCCTTGCGCAGTGCACCCTCCTGCATGCAGTGCTCCTTCTGTGCCAGCTTCATGACCACGGTGCCCTCTGCCTTCATCTCTGTCAGGTTGTTCTGGTGCTCATACAGCAGGTGCTTCACCTTCTGCTTGTATACCTGCAGGGCAGGGGAGCACCATCTGCACACCTGCATGCCCCCGCATACACCTGTATATACCTGCACACACTTACATACTCCTATATACCTGCATACCCCTGCACACCTCTGCACACACCTTCATGTACCTGTACACCTGCACGCCCCAACATGCCCCTACACACACCTACATGGCCCTGCATATGCCTGCACACAACTGCACACAGGCACACACCTGCACACTGTGTCTGGGCCAGAGCACACCTGCAGCACGGAGGAAGACACAGAGGCTGGCAGGTGAGGTGCAGTCCCAGATCATGCGGTATTAGTGGCAGAGCTGGGTTGCAAACACTCAAGACCTCTAGGGGTCTTTCCTGCCAGCAGAGGGAAGAAGCTTTATGAAGTTTCTCCCTCTCAACTTCTCATTAAAACACCTTCAGACACCCAGCATAAAGGACACCAAAACGGACTGCAAGGAGGAGGAGGACGCACCACCACCACAGGCTCGGCTGCTATGCTCGGGGGACGTGGTAGCAGGACACCCACCTTGATCTCCACTTGGTGCCGCTCCTCCGCCTCCTCCATCTCCCGGTCCTTGTTGCGCAGCTCAGCTTTCTTCTCCTCCAGCTGCCGCCGTGTGATCTCCCAGAATGTATGGATCTTGTCCCGCTCCAGCTGGAAGTAGTTGCGTTCCTCGCGCTCCCGGTCCAGCTCCTCCCGGACATGTTTGATATGCTCCTCCACCTGGGGCAGCACAGGGGGCCAAGAAGGCACAGGGTGGGGGCTCCACCACAGCAAAGAAATGCCAAAGAAAGTGGGAGGGGCCAGTTTCACCCCAAAATAAGTAAACACTAAAAGTAAGAACATTAAAATGTAATGCAAGGAAGTCCCCAGGGATAGGATACACTCTGTAAATGGCAGAATTCTCTTTCATTTGGCAAACACTCATAAATCAATTATATTCTTTTGTTCATTCCTAAGATTTTATACTAAAGAAATCTCTCAAAAGAAACAGAAGAGCTTTCTGCTCAAAGATACTAGCCATGCAGCTGCAGAAACAGAGAGTAATAACCAGAGAGAGGGGACTGTGCCCCCTGGTGCACAGATTCATTAATACACAATCTCTCACCTGAGTGACAGGGCTCACTGGTGGACAGACTGACCACAGCATGTTTTCTGGTGTGTTTGGGAGAGATTGAAAATTGAAAACTGAGATCTGGAACTTTTGAATCCTAATTAAACCAGGAAAGGAGAAGGAGCTATCAGAGAGAGGGAGAAAAGACAGTAAGCAAAGGCCAAAGGTTCTGCCCGCCTCAGAGTTCTTGCAGAAAGTAGTGCAGCCAACACCAAATACTGGGAAAAACGGAGAAAGTTAACACTCTCAAAAATTCCAATACCATCAACTCAATTCCAGCAAAAATTCTCAAGACACATAAAGAACAGAGAAGCAATGGCCCATCCAAATGAACATGACAAAGGGAGTAAAAGCGTGTCTAGGGAAGACCAAATAATTAAAAAAAAAAAAAGGAAGAATATAATACATTAAACATAATTAAAGAACTAAGGAAAAACACAGACAAAGAGCTAAAAGAAATAAGAAAACAACGCAAGAATAAAATGAGGATTTAAAAAAGAGAATGCAACTGAAAGGTACAATGATGGAAATGAGAAACACAATAAAAGGACTTACTAACAGATTTAATCAGGCAGAAGAAGGATTCAGTGAATTAGAGGATAAGACAGTTAAAATTACAGATGCTGAAAAGCAATAAGAACAGACACTCAAGAAAGCTGAGCACAGTTTAACGGAATTATGGAGCAAGACACCAAATACACGCATCATGGGAATTTCAGGAGATGAGAGAAAGGGACAGAAAGAATATTTGAAGAAATAGTGACAGAAAATCTCCCCAATATAACTAAGGATATGAATCTACAAATCCAAGAAGCTCAAAGAACTCCAAGCAGGATAAACCCAAAGAGATCTACACCAAGACACATCACAGTGAGGTTCTCGGGAAAAAAAGGCTGCAGGAATTGATGGAATACCAATTGAGATGTTTCAAGAAATGGATATGTCATGGATTGAATTGTGTCCCCCAAAATATCTGTCAACTTGGCTGGGTTATGATTCCCAGTATTGTATAATTGTGTACCATTTTATAGTCTGATGTGATTTCCTTATGTGGTGTAAATTCAATCACTATGATCTAATAAGATGGATTAGCGGCAGTTACACTGATGAGGTATATAAGATTGGATAGTGTCTTAAGCCAGTCTCTTTTGAGATATAAAAGACAGAAGCAAGCAAAGACACATGGAAACCTCGTACCACCAAGCAAACAGTGCTGGGAGCAGAGCACGTCCTTTGGACCTGAGGTTCCTGCACACAGAAGCTCCCAAACCAAGGGAAGATTGATGACACGGACCTTCCTCCAGAGACGACGGAGAAAGCATTCCCCTGGAGCTGACACCCTGAATTTGGACTGGTAGCCTACTGGACTGTAAGAAAATAAACTTCCCTCTGTTAAAGCCATCCACCTGCGGTATTTCTGTTAGAGCAGCACTAGAATGACTAAGACAGGATGCAACCCTGGAAGTGCACACTCGTCTATGCCAAAAATTTTGGAAGACAGCTATCTAGCCAACTGACGGAAAGAGATCCATATTTGTGCCCATTCCAAAGAAAGGTGATCCAACAGAATGCAGAAATTATCAAACAGTATCATTAACATCACATGCAAGTAAAACTGTGCTGAAGATCATTCAAAAGCAGTTACAGCAGTACATCGACAGGGAACTGCCAGAAGTTCAAGCTGGATTCAGAAGAGGATGTGGAATAAGGGATATCACTGCTGATGTCAGATGGATCCTGGCTGAAAGCAGAGAATACCAGAAAGATGTTTATCTTTTAATTTTATTGACTATGCAAAGGCATTCAACTGTGTGGATCATCATGAATTATGGATAACACTGCAGAGAATGGGAATTCCAGAACACTTAATTGTGTTCATGAGGAACCTATACACAGACCAAGAGGCAGTCGTTAGAACAGAACAAGGGGATACTGAGTAGTTTAAAGTCAGGAAAGGTGTGTGTCAGGGTTGTATCCTTTCACCATACTGGTTCAATCTGTATGTTGAGCAAATAATCCAAGAAACTGGATTATATGAAGAAGAACTTGTCATCAGGATTGGAGTAAGACTCATTAACAACCTGTGATATGCAGATGACACAACCTTCCTTGCTGAAAGCAAAGAAGACTTGAAGCACTTACTGATGAAGATTGAAGACTACAGCCTTCAGTATGGATTACATCTCAACATAAAGAAAACAAAAATCCTCACAACTGGACCAATAAGCAACATCATGATGAATGGAGAAAAGATTAAAGTTGTCAAGGATTTCATTTTACTTGGATCCACAATCAATGCCCACGGAAGCAGCAGTCAAGAAATCAAATGATGCATTGCATTGGGCAAATCTGCTGCAAAACACCACGTTAAAGTGTTAAAAAAGCAAAGACATCACTTTAAGGACTAAGGTGCACCTGACACAAGCCATGGTATTTTCAGTTGCCTCATATGCATATGAAAGCTGGACAATGAATAAGGAAGACCGAATAAGAACTGATGATGCCTTTGAATTACGGTGTTGATGAATACTGAATATACCATGGGCTGCCAGAAGAAGTACAGCCAGAATGTTCCTTAGAGGCAAGGATGGGAGACTTCATCTCATGTGCTTTGGACATGTTACCAGGAGGGACCAGTCCTTGGAGAAGGACATCATGCTTGGAAAAGTAGAGGGTCAGCGAAAAAGAGGAAGATGTTCAAGAAGATGGATTGACACAGTGGCTGCAACAATGCACTCAAGCATAACGATTGTGAGGATGGCACAGGACCGGGCAGTGTTTCATTCTATTGTACATAGGGTCACTATGAGGCAGAACCGACTTGATGATACCTAACAACAACAACATCATATATGACAACAAAAACAGAAGCAGTAAAAGACAAAATAGATAAATGGGACCTCATAAAAATTAAATACTTTTGTACATCAAAGGAATTTATCAACCAAGTGAAAAGACAACCTACAGTGGGTGAAATTTTTCAGGGACCATATATCTGATAGGGGTCTAATATCCAAAATATATAAAATACTTCTACAACTTAAAAACAAAAAGACAAATAACCCAATAAAAAAATAGGCAACAAGCACATGAAAAGATGCTCGACATCATTAGCCAGTAGGAAGATGCAAATCAAAACCACAATGAGATATCACTTCACATCAAAAAAACAAAACAACAAGTGTTGGCAAGGTTGTGGAGAAACTGGAACCCTAATTCACTGCTGTTGGGAATGTAAAGTGGTACAGCTGCTATGTAAGACAGTTTGACGGTTCCTCAAAAAGTTGAACGTAGAACTACCATATAACCCAGCAATCCCAATCCTAAGGACATACCCAGAAGACGTGAAGGCAGAAATGCAAACAGAAGTCTGTATACCATGTTTGTTGCAGCACTTTCCACAACAGCCAAAATGCAGAAACAACCAAAATGTCCATCAACAGATGAATGGATAAACACATGTGGTATATACATACAATGGAATATTACTCAGCCATAAAGAGAAATGAAGTCCATGACATGGATGAACATCGAAAATATCATGCTGAGTGAAATAAATCAGTTGCAAAAGGACAAATACTGAATGATCTCACTTATATCAAATAAGCAAATATATAGAAACCAAAAATTATTCATTGTTACCAAGGAGTGGGACGGAAGAGGAAAGGGGGAGTTTTTGTTTGGGGGACACTGAGTTTATGATAATGGTAGTAGAATGTTTTAGATTGAGAATAGCAATAATGGTGGCACAACATGAAAAAATGTAATCAACGTCATTGAGTTATAAATGTGGAAGTTATGTTGGTGGATGTTTTAGAAAGTATGTTTTCACCACAATAAAAAAAAAAAGATGATTAAGTAAACAAAGAGGGCCAAATGATATATATATACATATGCCAAACCAGTAGACCCCTAACATTCAAGCAGGTTTTGTCCACAGCCAATTGCAAATCTACAAATATGTTTAATTTTTTTTTTTTTTTTTTTTAAAGTAGCAGAGGCTCCGGCTTTCTTGGGATTCCAGTCCCTTAGAGTTAGGTATCTTCGGAGTGCAGTCTCAAGCCACTGATACGAAAGTTTTTTCTCTCGGATCACTCCATTCCTCTGGAAGAAACCACATTTTTCACTTCAGGAGGAAACCACCAACCAAGAAGGAGCAACTGGCCGATGTGAGGGCACTGAGAGGCGTGGCATCCTGCACTGCCTCCTGGTGAAATGGCAGGTGTCTTCCTGACACATACCTCCAGGGTCACTCAGTCTACACCAGGTTCCCACTGATTCTGTTCTGCCTACACAGCATTAGGCTTTGCCATCACCCAGTATTTCAATTTCTCATAAATATCGAGATTCTTCTCTTGAAAAAATCAGAGGACAGAGGCCCTGGAGCCCATGCCACAGGGTAGCCATCCAATGAGCAAGCAGCAGCTGCCCCACAATAGGGCCCTAGCCCCAGGTCACCCCCACATTGCTGCCTGGGCTTCCAAGAGTACAAGGTACAGCTCTGCTTGGGGGGCTACCCTGTCCTGTCTAAAGTCTGGAGAGGAAACAGGACAGGAAGCCGTTCACCACTGGGTGATGCGACCTTTTCAGTCCATTCTCTACCCAGCACCCAGGTGGCCTTCCCAAAACACAGACCTGACCCACCACTCTCTGCTTAAATATCAGCTAAAATAAAGCCACTCTTCACCATAACCCAAGGGTTCCACAGCCATGCCACCTCAGTTCTGAGGCCTCTCTCAGTCT